ACATACACACACACACACACACACACACACACACACACACACACAACCACTGAGAAAACTTGAGGACCTATTCATTGTTGCAAAAGATGCAAATAATTAGGAGATACTAATTATCACTAAATAAAAATAGGTTATAAAATATGTCTGGTCAGATTATTTCACTTTGTGGGAAAAGATATAAATGAGAAAAAAAAATCCAGACAGAAGGATGAATGAAGCACAAAACCCTGAGCGATAGAAGGACCAAAGGCATTTTTGCCTTTAAACTTATCATCTGGGGGTGTTACCAAAGCAACTTATACTTGCAGAATGCAAAAGATACAAACTTAAGAGGAGAAAAAGAAACAAGTCAACACCCACTGACCCACCAGTGTGCTGTTTATGCTTTGAATAACTAATGGGTTCAGAGAGGAATTATTTAAAAAATTCTAAGCGGCTGAAGACAGGACACAAAGACAAGCAGAAAGCAGCCCCTGAGCAGCCTCAGGCATGTCCCAACTGACCAGCGGGTCAGGACCATGCAAACAAACAGACTCACAGAGCCGGGAAGCCAGGAGGCAGCATGCCAGCCAAGCAATGTGAAGATGATTTCATGTGTGTTTGTATGTCCAATGTTTTTACATACCCTCAGCCTGGTTCCAGAAAGAGGTAAGGAAACACAAAGACAAGAAAGCGGCAAAATAGAAGCATTAAGATCAGGAGCAGAGAAAAAACAACCCGAAGAAGACATCTAAACTAGAAAGGAAGGATCACATAAGCAGGTCATTTGACCTTCACAAAGCTATTGAGGGTGGGTTGCACGTTTAACACTAAGACTCCTGGTGGCAACGGAGAAAAGGGAAATGAAGTAACTTGGTTCCCACTGATCAAGAACAGGAAACACACCAGTTCTTTGATGGAAGCACAGCCCTTTACCACATGGCACGAGATGCGGAAGAAGCATTGGGGCTTTCCAATAAGCCTGCTGAGACACGTGGGATGGGTAACATCCAGTCAACAGGATGATAGACAGGAGCTCATAGCTGCTCCCCAGAAAGGTCTCTTGGGGATAAAAGGTGATGACGGAGAAGACTAGGAGTTTCGGGGAAATATGTGTGGCTCTGTAGCTGAAGTTCTGTCACACTCCTGTAACCCAGAGTCAGGCACAGGGCTGCACTAGAATTCATGAGGAAAGGTCCTGCTTGAGACTAGAACTTGAATTCTGCCACTGACACCAGAGGCAGTCACAGCCCAAAGATGTCCTCTCTTTAAAATACCAAGAGCCTCTTCTCCAACTCTTAACTCCTTAACGTCCAACACTCCCAGCCCTCAGCAGCTCTCCAGCTTTTAACTCCTGTAGTGCCCGAGACTCCCAACCCTTAGTACTTTACACTGGGAGGCGAAGGGAAGCTGAAGCACCATTCCCAACCTCCCTAAACATCGAAAGAGATTCTGAAACTGCTGGTCTGAAAGACAGCCAGCCGCTGGACCATCGCAGGGTAACCCGGGAGGACAACACCCTAAGAAGCACCAAGTAGGCCCTTCCCTATGACACCGGCTCACTCCACTGTAGTTTCTTATGTGTGTCGCAGGGATAACACAAGAGTGCCGCTCATAGGAGCCTCACAAGACTCAGCAAGATCAAGACACACAGCTCCTGCACCCCTTTATCTCTTGCACCCCTCAAGGTTCTCGGGAAACACAAGCTGCCTCTGGTTCACCAAGGCTTATCTGCCTGCACTGGAGGGCATTTCCACTTGGGTGGGACCTACAGCTCTAAGCGGGAAGCCACCCTTGGATTCTGTCCAGATACAGAAATGCCAGGAGTCCCAGATAAGCACAAGTTCCAGGTGGCAGCTCAACACTCCCTCCACTTTAGCCTGGGTGGATGGCAAGCTGCCCAGGGTCCCTCAGACAAAGGCAAGCCAGGTTGGAGAGGAAGCCTGGGTGCCAGTGGTCCACAACTCCTGACTGCTGGAAAGACACTGAACAAAGTGACCAAGGGATGGAAAGTGAAACATACCTTGAAGCGAGCACAGTGCCTTCACAACACGCTTTCTCATGCTGTGAACACCCATCCATGCTTGCTCTCATCCCTCCTCCCTTGCACCCTGTGCCTCAAACTTAAGAGTCATGGTTTGCTGATGGACCCGGCTGCCAATGATCCTTCCACATGGTGGGCAGACTTCACTAGGTCTTCCCCACTGGTTATCTCATAGGACAGATAGAGACCATATACTGTCAAAGACCAGGTTCAAATCCAGCCTCAACCTCTCAAGGACAAGCCACTTAACCTTTCAGAGCCCCACTTTCCTTATCTGTAAAATGGGAACAATAATAGCCCTCTGCCTCACAGAGTTGTTATGAGAAGAAACGAGATTACGTATGTAAATAATAATGTACATAATAACCCACACTTACTGAGAGCTTTACTCAAAACAACTTTGCACACGTTTTCCCTGTGCTGGCATGATGCCTGGCACACGATCAACACTCGAGTGGCTCAAAAACAAAATCCAAAAGCCCTGCAGGAAAATCCAGCCCAGCAAGCCACAGAGGGCAGGACAGGGGGTGTGGCCTCCCTCCTGGGATGTTATAGTACCAGCCCATTCCATGTGAACCTGAGTGTGGTCCCCAAGGGTCTTGGTCAGATCAACTCAGAAATAGGATGTGTTACAAGTCACAAGTGTTGTGACTGCCCAAACTCCCATGTGTCTGGTGCCATCTCCAGAGTGACAGAATAGCTGTGTGGAAGGAAATAGGATGTGTTACAAGTCACAAGTGTTGTGACTGCCCAAATTCCCATGTGTCTGGTGCCATCTCCAGAGTGACAGAATAGCTGTGTGGAAGTCTTTGCGGAAGGCCCTGCCTGAGCCTGCCCAAGTCTGTGTGTCTGTGTGCTTATGTGCACGGAACCTTGGGGCCTGTCCAGGCTTGTGTGTGAGTTCCTGGTACTCTTATGTGCACAGGTGACTGGAGATTGTGTGTGTGTGTGTGTGTGTGTGTGTGTGTGTGTGTGTGTGTGTGTGTGTGTGTGTGGTGTTGTTGTTGTTTTTGTTGTTGTTCTCTGTTGTGCCTCTTGTGCCAAAGAGCATGTCCCACCTGGTTTCCTGGCTGTGAATATAGTTCACATATCC